TAAAAGAAAAGTTTGAGAGCGTGGTGGTTAGAAAATGATAATACTGTCAGGTGTTTTGAGGTAAATCAATGCTGGATAAGGAACCACAGTAATTCATAAGAGACAGAAGTGTCAAAAGAAATAAACATGGAAATGTATCCAGCAGATACTACTGTCTAGACTGTGGGGTTTGGCTCTAATTACCAGTGTTTTCTCTTCCATAATCTCTTGTTTGATTATGGGACAACTCATTTCCTTTCACACATGAAAAATAGATTTTTTTTCCATACAGTTTTACGTGTTCATTTTGGTTTGATATAAAAAGTAAATAGCAAACAAAATGTCAGCATGAAAGCAAGGCCCAGTGGAAATAACCCTGGGTGTATATAATGAGGATGGCAAAAAATCCACCGGAAACTGCACAGACTGGGTATACCTTAGTGCTCATTATATCTTTTGGCAGCTATGTTAGCATAGGAGTTAGGTGGCCTGAGGCTTGGGGATTTTTCTTTTTTTTTCCTTTCCTCTCCTCATCTTCTGACCTTTGTTCCATGGAAGAAAACAATCAAGTTTGCAGACGGAGGCTGAATATGCTGAGGGAAAGCACTAAAAAGCCCAGGTACTTTACCAGTTGCTACATGGGCTTGTCTTTTAATCTCAGGTAAGGTATGAGTAAAGAAAAATTTGCAATAACAAAAAAAGGTGTCGTTAAACCCAGGGGATGACATAGTCATCAGCTGGTTGGATCACCAGAGCAGAGCCAAGCTTTGCCTAATTCTGTCTACTGCCTCCCTCCTCCGTGCAGGAAAAGCAGTAAAGCCCATTAACTGCATCTGGTCTTCTGCGTCTGCAGCTCAGAAGCAGGCAGGGAGCACAGTGGCACACAGCAGGTAAAGCTCTGGCACACATCTGGAAGGTTTGCCTCCTCTGCAGTAATATCTCATTGTGTATTCCATAGCTTTGTTTGTGTATGAAGTGGAAACTTAGTAATACAAGAGCTCTACAGCCTCCTGTTATTAAATATTTCCCTTGGGTGGAGGAAAGGGACTCCTGTTTTGCATAAGAATTATGAGATGGACTATTAGCTCTGCTGTAAATTAAAAAGAAATTGCTTTTCCTGTCTAGTTTAATAAATCTCAGGTCAAAAACCCCAAATCTGCAGGCATTACATGGAAATCACATTTGCCTAAAATTTCCCTGGAAATAATTCTTCCCACTTAAGAGTGAATGAAGAACAAAAACAAACAAAAAAAATTACCTTACTCCTTAGACAGCCTGAGAGATATTTTGGTGGTTTTAGGGCTATCATAATTACATCCATAGTGAGCAACTGAATTTAAACAAAGGGAACAAATGTTTCACTGATTTTGCATGCATGAGATAGAAGGATTAATATTTATTAGTAATTTTTTTCCTCTTTTTTTTTTTTTTTCAGTCCCTTACTTTAAATATGAAGTGGCAAGCTCTTTATCATACACTCTTACAGCATACACTCCTAGGTAATGAACAATACCAAGCCAAATAGCTACGGAGCTACTGCTTGAACACGCTCCTGAAAGGAATGACATCCCACTTCTCCATCACATTACAGCACCTCAGGCTACAGAGCAGAACAAAAGCCTTCTCTCTCTCCTTGCAGACTTGGCTGAGCTGCTGAGGGCTGCTCACCTTTTCCCTGTGGGATAAAACCTGGAGCAGGAGCTGCCATCCCAGGCGCAGTAGGGGTCTCGGGCCAGGCAGCAGTCAGCGCAGGCAGAGCCGTAGATGTGGCAGCGGTGCAGGGACACCTGGGTCACCCCTTCGTCCGAGCTCACGTACAGCTGTTGCTGGAGAAGGAAATGGAAAGATTTTATTCAGATCTGGAGGGTCTTCACCTGAGACTCGGCTAACACGTCTAAAAACCTCTCAAGTAATTTTGGAATTAACTCAAAACCAAGAGGGGAGCCACTAATATAGATAAAGCCAAGATCAACAGACATCTCCCAGGTGAACAGGCCTATAATATTTCCACCTTCCTGTTAGAAAACACTTAGAAACACTGGGGAATGAGTCATTGTTCTGTTTTGGAGCAGACAATCCGAGTTAATATTGCTCAGATTTGAGAATTTGGTTCTTATTCAGTGAGGATTATTGGCTCAAGCCTTTGGGCTAAGTATTTTCTCTATATATAGTCACTTTAATAAATATTATGCAGAGTTCCTAGTTGGATTCCTCAGTGCACAGATTTCCAAGACATAAAACCTAGAGATTATGCTGAGGCTTAGGGCCAGATTCTGATACCTTTATATACCTGGAAAAATAAGCCAAAAGAACTTTCATAATAAATGAGAGCTTTTTGCAGAAGTTCAAAGTGAATAGGTCATCATCAAAATTCGGGCCAAAGTGACTGTTTTACTAAGAAATAATTCATCCACTGTTTCAATTCTTAAAATACAAATTAAATAAATCTGGGCTAAAATGACTGTTTTACTCAGAAACAATCAGTTGATCAATTCTTAAAATATAAATTAATATTGAACAAAAGCCTTGAAACTCCCTTAATCTCTTTGTCATAAAGTTTTAAATTAAACTGAATTCAATTTAATTAATAATGTTTACTTATTAGTAGTTTTGTAAAATATTGGGAAACTTGTTGCTTGCAAAATCATGGAATATATATTTTTCGTTTAGGTGTCTAATATTTCAGCAGAAATCCTCTCAGCTATTTTCACCTTTTTTATTGCTATTGTTTACTACTAATAAACAAATATGAACAACTCCACCATGGACCCAACAGACCAGATAATGCCTATTTGTACTGGTCAGACTTTCACAGGAAAATTTCTATTTAAGATTTACAGAATTTTTTTCTGTAAATTTTTTTTTTATTTGTTTTTCTTTAATTGTCCAAGAAAACAACAAAAAATTTGACACTTTCAGTGAATTAGAAATGATTAGATGAATACAATTTTTTTTTTCTCTTAGTTGTTCTGAGGCATAAAAACAGCTCATGCAAACTTCAGTCAAGTTTCTTCATATTCATTATGGAAAATCTCCTGCCTATATTTAGTATGCTGCACAACATTTGGTATTCTAACATTTTTAAGTCAATTTGCTTCTCAGTTAATAAGCACTAAGTAAGCATTCCTTTTTCCCTTTACCTTTTTAGATGAAATCTTCATTGTTGTTATAGGAGAGTTACTCTGAAAGACAAAATTCCAAACCACATTTACAAGAACTCTCTTGTTAATACTGTCCTAAAATTAAAATTTAAAATTCAAGTAAACCTAAGTCATGTCTAAGAAAACCATAACATTTCATATCTTGGAAAGGCATCACTCACTCCTATTAATTTCTTGCTATTGTCAGAACTAAACCAATGACACACATACAATTAGTTTCTCAGAAAAAATGTACTGGCTAAGCTCAACCACTTTATTATTACTCATGTATATCAACAAGTTTTTGTACACCTCTAATTAATTTCCATCTGTGTTACCTCAGCAAGATAGGAACATTGTGTTTTGAAGCCATTACTCTCACTTTGTAATAAAAAACAGTGTTTGCTGCATGATCTGAATATGTCATTTTTCTCCTACACTTTATCTATATTGCATATAGTTTGGTTACCATCCAACATGTCTGCTCACATTATCAACTAGAATATTAAAAATGGCATATATTGAATGTTTCTTTCCCAGAGACAGTACTGTATACTACTGTGTGTCATCACTGCAGTCTATTATTGTCTGTGTCCAAACCAAATATTAATGAGATGGAAAAGGGAATTATCACAATCATTGCCTTAAGCAAATGCATCAATTCATTATTCTCATCCAAACAAATGATAAAATTGATAGTAATAAAAATGTTCAGCAATGTTTTAAGGTTTAGCATTTGCTCAGTCACAAAGGAAAGCCATAAGAGTGGGCAAGGATTAATTGCAGTGGACTAGAGGCACAGCAGGGAGTCCAGGACTAAAAAATCTGGCTGCGAAACATGTGAATTGGCAAAGGTTTGAAGGAGTTTAGAGCTGCTGTAGTATCTCATGAACTATCCAGAGAGTCAAGGTCAAACGCAACATTGGATTTGATGCCATGTTCTCTTTTCGTTGTTCATACTCTGGGAAAGAATCAGCATTTTGCTAAGTCTTGATATTTAATAGCACACAGCCAGTCTCCTTCCTGGATGGAGTCATCAAAATACTGCCATGCTGCCTGCACAGACTGCAATGGTAGAGGTAGGGATATCATGATTTTTAGGGTTCAGGATAAAAAAAGCCTGTGCACAAAGGTCCAGAAACTATGTTTAGGTTGAGGATTCCTCTCAGCCCACCTATCTTCTTTCTGTAGTAGTTTGTTTCAGTAAATGGAATTAGCAATACCTGGATGAAGGGTAGTCTTCAGGTAATATTACTCACATACAGAATTTTTAAAGGGAAGTCTTGAAGAAAAGCCTAATTATGCCTTTATGAGGGTTAACACAGAGTGTATTTTTTTTTTCAAGAAATTGTTAATGCTGCCTGCCTAGAGATAAGTCCTTAAATTTTCCTTTTTGTATCCTCTCAATGAAACAGAAAAAAGCCCTTGACAAAATCACTAAATTCATAGATTCATCCTGACATTTGCCCCAAGACTATTGGTTTTAAAGAATAGCCCAGTCAAAAATGGAAAAGGGATTTTTCAACATAAGGGCAAACATTTTCTTTAGGTTATTACAAGCTGCTACACACCAGAGTGACTGACAGAGGCTATTCCCTTACTTCTTGCTGTAATTGTTTGTGTTTCTTCTCAGCTTATGTTGTGTTAAGCTTGTAGCTTTTTTGACTCCAGAGGCATGTGCCTTTGAAGAACTGGAGTTGAGCAAAAACAACACTAGTTTGCTTCCATTCTGCAGCTCAGAATCAGCAAGATTATCAGATAATTGAAGTAGTACAAAAAGCTTAGATTCCATCTGTAAATAACGACAGTCTCAATACATGATGCCAAGGATGAAAGTTGCCTTCTGGCAGTCACTATAACATGACCTTGTAAAAATGTGATTACCAAAACCCTTCTAGCCAGTACAACAACATAAAAAAACCCTAACTTAAATATAGGGGGGAAAAAAAGGGATTTAAGCTAGCGACAGCCTTCATAATAGCAGACATTTTATATTCCTCTTTGGGTGGGTAGCAAGCTGAGAGTATGCACGTTTACTTGCTCTTTCATCAAGTCACAGTTGCCCTTGCCAAAGTCTCTTAGAACAGAGCGTTTGTCAGAACAAACACATTGGAAGAGTAGAAGTAGGAGTAAGCCAAACCTGAAAAACTTCCAGCTCTTCTAAAATGAGTTCTCCACTTGCAGAGAAGTTGGTGGGTAGCACAACAACTTTTTGTACAGTTCCTTGATCTGGAAAAGATGAGAAAAAAATGACACTGTGTGGCAAACAGAGAGAAAAAGAAAAAAGTTGATGAACCATTATCAATTATGAAAAGAAACCATCAGAGTAAGCATTATGACATAGAGAAAGGTAAGAAATGTTCAGGAATTTCTAGGATTTGGGGTCAGAAAGAAATGTGAGATGATTCCTTATATTGGAATACTATGTATAGTAGTAGTCTCATAAATGAACACAGATAAGCAAGGGTAAGGTAGGAGTTATTACCATTACTGTTACCATTCTACCCAGAAGGATCAATCAAAATCAGTATTTTCCACACTGGTTGTTGCACAGACATTGAGACAGAGGCAGTATCTATCCTAATGATCTTAAAGTAAAACCACAGCAGTACAAACAGGTAAAAGGGAGCTACTGCAAGATTTAATATATATTCATATTGCTTAATTAAACATAATCACAACTGACGATATGAAAGGTAAATGTTCCAAAAAATAACTCTATCTACACCTAAATAAAGTAAGATGAAAGCTTTTTTTTTATTTTTTTATTTTTTTTTATGGAAAGTCAAACAATAATCAAGTACATTACATATTGGTAGGAGTTAATGTTTTAGTACATAAGGAAAAAAGGGAAAGCAAGGTGAAGATATTGTAGCTATTCTACCATGGCTAGCCTCTCAAAATATAGTTCCAAGCCTTCCAAATCCACTCAGATGAAAGGAATAAGAAATAAGGAATAAGTAAGAAGGATGGGGAAATGGCAGTGTTTTTGCAGAGGGTGTGTGATGAGTGAAACCAAAGGGATATTTGTGATTAGTTTCTTAAATTTGTTAGGTGGGAAGAACATATGAGATGGAGGGGCCCATCTGTGAAGGCTCTTAAAGGCTAAGACGGCCACTGAAGTATGTCTGATGTGTCAGAAAAGACAGGCTGTTGGAGAATCACATGGACAAGCATTTTTACTTGGAAGAAGCACAGCACACAGAATTCCTCTTGCCTGAAAGGGCTGGAAATTAATCTGAGTAGAATAAGTTTATTTGCTCAATATTGATGCTGAGGAATGAGACCACATGGTGTAGATTCTGTTCAGCCTTCAGAAGTTTTATGAGCAACATAGAGTTGTGCAGTTGGTAAAACATTAGTATAGTGCAATGTAGGTAACCACCTATGTGCATTTTTATGAATTTGTGACTGAGGAAAGGAAATCTCAGCTTCCTGTTTGGCAATTCATGATGTAGACAACGTAAACTGAAAATGGGCAATTTTGCTTTTAAGGTCAGTGACTAAATTCCATAGCTGGAGCTGCAGGGCAAGTTGGTTACAGTAAATTATTTACATCTTCTTATTTCCCTTGAGGAAGTTAGCAAATAACATAATTTATTTAAGAAAAATAAGGTTTAAAGCCATAATATTGATATGTAATGAGCTGACCACACACAGAGAGCACACTGGAGTATTTTATCTTTTAAAAATAAATGGAAAAGAAAAATTGAAAGCTGACAAGACTTAAAAATGTGTAGCTACCAATTGTACATGCTCAAGGCACATTAGGCATGAATTTTTCATGGGAATTTTCTGTGGAGAACATTTATCCTCATTATGCAATGGCACGATAAACCAGTTCCTTCTGAAGAAACTCTACTGAAACTAAATCCTGTGATAGCACAGCTGTGGTCTAGACTAGGTGCCAATATTAGCAAAGGTATGAGAACCTGAGAGAGATTTACTAACTGCCAGGACCCACCGAAGCTTTAAACTGCTGCAGATGCATCCCTTGTTGGAGCTAAGAAGCATGTGTGTGTGCATGTGTACTTCTGATCCTTCTAAAGGAAATAAACCACTCCCAAATATATACAGCTGTTCTGCCAATGACCAGGCCCAACAAAAATGATAGCACCAGCAGGAAGATGAACCAAGACACAGACTGTATTGTAGACAAGAAGGACATTGCATGAATGATCGCGGGGGGTACAAACAGATCAATCAGCTGGTACATAATTGACACCACCCCCAACAATCCCACAAGAGACACGACTCGGCCCACAACAGGTGGTACAAACAGAGACCCGAGGTTGCCCCCAGTTGGCATGGGAAACAGCCAGACCAGCAAGCTGAACACATAAGAGAAAGGTGCCCACATGGCGACTCTCACCCGATCAGCCCGTGTTCGCAAAGGTCTAAACAGACTGGGTCCCAGCTCCAGGGAGAGTCAGGAGGTCTGCCCTGAACCAGGAAGCGCCGTGGAGTGCACTCCACAGACAGACACTCCTGACTCCCTGCAAGTGGTCCCAGCTTTTATCCCCAAGCAGACACCTGACCTTTGTCAACTCCATGCGTGAACCCTGGGGCTCATTTCCCTTCTGGCTCTCCCTGCAGGGCCCGCCGCACCCTGGGGGGAAGCTATAAGGCAAACTCACCACCTCTGTATGAAGGGCTGTGGGAATCATGCATATGTCAACCTTAATTCAGGGCACGGGGTTCAGACCCCAGCATTTCAACACCTTAAGTCCAGTCTGCCTCTTTGCATCCTTTTATCAATGTCCTCTCTCTAACATTAATCTACACAATACATGTATCAGAAGTGCAGGAATAAGTTTCAGCCTTTTGTATTTTTTTTCAGCTGCCTGTGAAGTGTCAGCTACCTGTAACCCTGACACACAGGGCACCAAGCATGTTGACAGTGACCTTACCTGCAAAGGAATGTGAGACTGCTGAGCCTCTGAAGAACCAGTTTATTTCAATGAACCATTAGCACATGCCACACATTTCAAATTCCTAAATTGTCTTCAGTCCTCCAACACTGCCCCAGACTGAAATCAGAAACTTAGGGGAGATTTTATCCTGAGTATTGGCACAGAAAATACTGATAATGCCTGACGCCAAGTCCTTGTGTCCTAATAACCTTTTCTATTTGAAGAGTAGGTTCCTATCTACTTTTTTTTTGGTCACACCCCAGAAAAATACACAGAGTTAAGGACTGTTTACCTCGGTATTCATTTCCTTTGACTCAATATTTTATCAGTCACTTTGCCTCAGTATTGTACCATGAGGGACAGATACTTGCAGAAAGGAATGCTCTGCTGTTTTAAGGGAAACTTAATACAGCATTTAAAATAAATATTCATGTTAGGGAAAGTACGCAATAGAAAGCTCTTCATTAAATAAAATCATTTAAAGAAAGGGATTCCAATTGTCTACATATATTATATATAAATACTTCCAACTAAACATGGCTAACAGGTTGAAACCCTCCACCACTTCTAAAAATAGTTTTTCTCCTGTTTTTCAGCCTTTTCCTTAATAAATGAAAGCAGATATTTGTGCCCTCAAACCATGTCTTATTCTTTTCTCAGTAGTACCGATGTCTTCACTATAAGCACAGTAACTGACAAATTACTTATATGTGTTCATGACAGAAAGCTTATGGTACATTTAAGTTTTGTTGAAAATCTTATTTGCTTATTTCCATTAATAGCAAGGCAGCAAACTAAATTCCTTGGTCAGAAGGAAGGTTGGAAAGGATGCAGCACTGCGCTCTGCAGGAGATACATGTTTTAAAAAAACTTCAAAGTGAACAGGGCAGTTTCTTTTGCTGTTTCCTTGTTACTTCCAAAAATCCACTTGAAAACAATTCTACAGTATTATGATTTCATATAGTCCTGAAAAAAGCTATTGTGTCTCCAGAATATCAGTCCACCACTAGAATGCAGAAGTGAAGAGGCACACTGACGCTCATCCCTTCCCTGGCTTTTCTCTAGGAGCTGTTTGCTGCCCAGCAGTCAGTGAGTCGAGGGCAAATGGACAAATGAGAAAGAATCTCCCTCAAGCTGACAGCAAGTCAAGAGCAATTCATAATGGTTTTCTTTTTCAAACTTGCTTGAAGGACTGTAGGTCTCCCAGCCTGACACGGAAGACAATGTTACTGAACTTGTGTTCCCTCTGAGAGGACTGACAAACAGGGAACAGCAAGGGAGGAGAGTGCTAACATCCTACAGTCTAAAAAATTATGTACAGTGTGTCCAGAGTGGGAAATAATGGAGAAGGAAGGCAGTCCAACAAACGGCCCACGGAAGGAAGAAGATGAGACAAATTAATAATAACAACAAAAATTTTAAAAAAATATAAAAAATTCCTTAAAGGCAGGGCGTGATTCTGGACCAGCTAAGCTTCATTGATACCAGTTGGACCATGCCTGATTACACTAATTCCTGCTCTGGCTGACCACGGGCAATGGAAAAGGCAAAGCTTAGTGAACAGCAATGAACAATACACTGCTGTTTGGCAGAATCTGGAAGTCTGAGTTGAAAGTTTGTTCTCTGAATTTTGCTTATCTTTTCTTTCTCCAGCCCTAAGTGAACACTGCAGTTATCAGTGTTGTGAGCCTCAAAGAGAGTCAGGACCCGTCTACCCCTGAGCCACATCACACGTAGCAAAACAACAAAAAAAACCCTTTGACTTTTCCACATAACAAAAAAACCCAAAAAAAACTGCAATGGACACCAACTGCTACTCACTCTGGCAGGAGTTTCACAGAGAGCCTTCCTGCAGTAAACCCTGTCCCTGACGTGCCTGATATTGCTGCAGACCCTCTGAAAACTTTTCCCCATGTTGCACTTGTTAGCCCTAATGGCAGCTTGATTAGTTGTGGTCTCTAATCTGAGGTGAACCTGATGCAAACAAATAATACAACAAAGAAAAAGGAAAGCAAGATGTTCACAGAATGTTTAAAATCTCTGTTTGAGAAAATGTTGAAGCTCAGCAGAAAACCTGAGATGGTGGCAGTTTATCAGCCAGGGCTGAATCAAGTCTCCATGCTCTCTGCTGTCCTTAGGTGTCTTCTGTAAGTCAGAGCTCCCATCACAGCCACCCAACCTCTCTGCACTTTAGTTCACTGATCTGCCAAATGGGTGTAATTTTTTTCCAGTTTCTAGAATTGCTGTGAAAATTTGTAAAATTCAAGCTGCATCAAGGACAAAAAGACAGATACAAATGTCTAATGAGCTCACACT